TTTCATGAACTAACTTTTTGCCCTCATTCATTCATAATGTGTGAACTCTTGCTTATTTAACAACACACTTGGGCATTGGTGTGGCACTTCTTACACATTTTTCACTGTATTCAGGTCATGCAACACATCACTTTCAGGGGATGTCCTATTATTTACACAATGATTTAAATGATTCATGTCATGATTTTTTTAAGAAAAAATTTATGCTAACTGTCAACTACTTAACGCAACTCTTCACGTCTTGCGTTTGGGGCTTTTAATTAAACAAAGAGTTTTATTTTTTTGGTCATTCATATAAAGCCTTTTATGTTAATTTAATGCATTATAAGACTGAAATTGCTCACTAAGTTGTGTAAACTTACTATTTAAATTATTTTCTTTCAGATATAATACTAGATTGATATGACTTACACGAGAGATTTAGTTTACAGGAGGATTGTTGGTCGTTTTTTCTTTGAAAATATATTTAATTTAATACGTATATAATATTTATTTTAAAAATAATTTTTTAATTTTCAAAAATGAGACCAGATAGATCTTATATATTTAATAGTTTAGCTAATTGAGCATAATACCATAAGTGATGCACTATCTCGGAAGATAAGTATATCACTTGATAGTAGACTTAACAATTTAAAACAAGAAATTGATTACTTTTATTTGGTTTGCGAAATTTATGACCGATAATTCTCCTATCTAATATAAAGAGTAGACATGGTTTAGATTATCTAGGTTACAAATTCTCCTACAGCCGCAAACCTATATAGTTAATTACATCTTACGCAACCAAAAACACCTAAGAAAACTCTCGATTAAGATAAGAGATTTCATCTTTAAGAATTCAAAGTTTAGTTTTCACGGTTGGTTATAGGAAAATCAAGTAGGAACAACTCAATGTGAAATAGTTATTTTGGGAATTCAAATGAGCAAAAAGTAGGCGATGTCGAGGATACCGAGGAAACCTCGGTAACATCTCAAACTAATCTATGGTTTGATTTTATTTCTCTGAAAAGGGAAGTTATTTAATTTTTAAAACCTGCAATTTATTAGAATTTTAGAACATATATTTGCACGACATATGACAGTGCAAACGACCCAAGAAGATAGTAGGATTTACGTTGTACCGAACAACGATATCAAAATTTTAAAAGAGTAAGGCTTATATCGTATGACATACGATCGTACGAAGGTCTAAAAGATAGCGTGAGGATTTTTGTCATGTTAGACGAACGACCTCGAGGTCCTAAGGGTTTATGCTATTTAATACTATGAAATTTTTAGTTGATGATCGTCATTTGCTTCATGTGGTGGTCTTGATTGTCACCTGAAGTCCTCCGCTGCTCGATTGCACCTTTTTACTTCATAAAGAGCTTGCTATGGGCTCTTCACTGTGGCGGTTTTGGGTTCTAAAAAGTGTGTTTGTATTGGCAAATATTTGCTATTGTTGGGTCGTTGAGTTTTGCTGCAGGGTTCCTCCTAAACAGGTGATATATTTTCATCTATTCTAGGGGCCCTTAACAGGTATAGTAAGTAACAGAATAGTAATGTATCTTGTGTAAACAATCAAATATATATAGTAAAGTATAGTAAAAGAGAAAGTGCAGTAATAAGAAAATACATTAAAAAGAAAGTGGTAGTATGTACATACCGCCTCTGAGGCCACTACTAAAGAGTTAAAATTACAGGTAAAACATGCAAATATTACGAAAGATTAAAAAACGAAAGATATGAGGATATGTGTATATATAAAAAAAATGGGTCAAGTGACAAATATATGAAAGATTGAAGTTGGGTATAAGAATTTATGCTGTGGGTGGGCTTAGACACAGGATCGGCCCTATTAATTCTCGAGGGATATCTGTAGGCAACCATAAGCAATCTGTGTGCATAAGATTCAACTTCGGAGAGATGCTACCAACGAGACGATCAGAAGAGGGCAACTCCTAGCCCAAACAAAGTGATTAACGAGTGGACTCGTAGAAGCTAACACCCAAAATTCTTAGTTTGTCAGGTATATAATTAAAGTTAAACTTTCATTTAGCATTCTGAAATATTAGTGTTATGAGGAAAAGATTTAGTTATATTTTATATGTGTTATCTAAATCAGATGGTCCACGAGTTAGTCACGTTATTGGGTTAGAGCTACAAACATCCTAGAAAAGTACAGACAGCTTCTCGCCAACTGTTGGTGAATTGTAGCATTGCTCCTACACCCTCATAAAGTCATTAGGTCAGAAATAGTAATATTATTATTTTTTTTCTTTTTTTAGCACCAAAAGCTTTTCACATCATCGCCCTTAACCCCAAAATTTCCGACTTATAACCTCGCTCGATGATTTATTTGACACTACCCCATTATGAATATTTCCACTTATGTCAAGCATCTCCAGAATTGGTATTAGGGTAAGAATATAAGAATATTAGGAGAATTTTAAGGTTTGCATATAGCTGCCATAGGTTCTCTCTATGTTTTCTATAGTGATGATAGAGAGTGTGTATAGCAAAACCTGATAAACTTTCTGTGGGGTCATAGAACAAACCTACAACACGAGTGGAGAAACTTTCTACTGATTATCTCAATTAAAATTCTTGGCAGCATGCTTACAAAAGAAATCAGCAACCACAAAAAAAAAAAAAAAAAAAAAAAAAAAAAAGGCTCAAACGTCAAGAAAATCGAGCAACCAAGCAAGGTATCAATCAATCAAGCAAGAATACCTAGAGATCGTGCAAGAAAACGGGGTAGCCAGTGTAAAAATCGAGCAGCCGACATGAAAAAATGAGCTAATTAACAAGGCAGCATAAAACACACCATGAATTACAGATTGTTATAGCATATGCACCTTCATTACCAGGCTACAATGCTGCTAATTAAATCAGCCCATCCCAAAAGCGCTACCACATATATTTCAAACAACCACAAACAATTTCAGCAAACTAACCGGGAAGTCCTTCCACAATATTAGAGAAAAGGACCTCTTTATATCATTTAAACCTATTAGCCATAAAAAAATGAATTCAGCTCTTGCTAATAGGAAGATATAATGAACCTTTAAAAATAGATTCAAATTACTCTAAGCTAGATTGATTAGCCGAGTAGACAAGAAATCTCTCCACAACTCAAGCCGACCAAAGCAGATTTCACACGGTAGAAGCAAATAATTTCTCTTAATTCGATTAAGAACAAGGGAATACTTCTTACTGCATGAAAACTTTCACAAATAAACCAAAGAAGAACCCGAAATAACAAGGTTTTTTACCTGCAATGCTTGAAGGAAGAAGAGGATCAAGGACCTCAGATGGTCGAGAAAGAAATGCCCGCACAAAGAATGTGCCAACTAATATATCCAACAACAACTCGAAATCCCTCCCTCGAAAGGGTTCTTATAGCCGGAGGAAGGGAGATGCTTGCTACAAAACCTACAGGCTGTTAGGAGAGCGTGATAAGGATCAGGGAAGTGGCGAACAGAGAAAGCGATAGGGGTCGGGGGAATTGGCGACATAGGTCAGGCTACGCGAGTGGGAACGACTCGAATCCTTTGTGAAAGGATTCTCCCGCGTGAGAGGGGGAGAGGTGTTTGGCTAATGCACGAAGGAGAGGAGCTCGGGAAGAGCTTCATGCGTGTGAGAAAATGGTAGTGAGGGGTTTTTTTGTGTGTGTGTGTGTGTTTTTTTGGTTAAATTTTTTATTATTAATATTATTGTTTTGATTATTTAAGGGTATTAGTTCTCGTATTTTGTCTCGTGTATGGAATTATATCGACGTATATGTCTTTCCAAGGTAAAATTGACGTTTCGGGCACGCTCGTGCTGTTCTTTTCGTCATTCGGGATCATCCGGACAAGTCCGTCGACAATCAGACCAATTTAACTCTGAATTGTGTGCAGCGCGACATACGAAGTCATTTGGCTTGATCAGAGTCGTTTAACGAGCAAAATGGTAACCGGTCATTGCTTAAATAACAACCAAAGCTAAGCAAACCGCTCTGGGCAGTAAGTCACCTGCCATACGTTGTGGGGTTTCCTTATGGTTTTTTCAATCCCTATAGTAACTCAACTCGAGTTTCAATATATTGTTTTTAATCGACTTAACTAAACGCCGAGGATTAAAAAATGATTTGAATTTTTTAATAGTGTGGGTCCCAATACAAGTTTTCTAGGAGAGTTCAAAGGAAATCCTAAGGATAGATCCTAGGTTCTAAATGAAGTAGAAGAAAGACCTCATAAAAAAAAGGTCAACAAGAATGACTATTGTTGATAGGTATTATGTTGTGCATTGTGGTGGTAGTTATTGTCCTTTTTACTTTTGAGTAGTAATGTTGTTGTGTGTTCGTTTGAGCTATTTTACGTGCAAACTATCATGTTAATTTTGGATGATATACTTTGTGTAATATATTTTATGGTGTCTTAGCATCACTTTATAAATTGAATGTTATAAAAATCCGTGGGAATTTAATGAAATGTTAATACCATCCAACCATAGTTCTTTCTTTAATACTAAGCTATCATGCTAGGTCATTAGCATCACTTTATAAATTGAATGTTATAAAAATCTGTGGGAATTTAATGAAATGTTAATACCATCCAATCATAATTCTTTCTTTAATACTAAGCTATCAGGCTGGGTCGTGAAATTATAATTGTTAGAAATTTGCACCAATTTGATGGGCGGATTAAAGTGTTATTGGGCCAATAGAAAGGAACATGAGTGGAGTAAAAATAATGTGATAGAAGTTGTTTAAAATAATTCATGGAGACTATTTGGTCCTTGATGAAACACTTAGCAGGAAGGAGCACACAAATAAGGATTCATAAACTTTGACCTCCAATAGTTGTGATAAGGTTGATGATGATCGTTATGATGTTAGTAATAGTAATGAAATTGGGTGATATACCTTTAGATTCACATGTTTGTGTTCCGATAAATTCATATTAGGGACTTAAAAGAGATTTTCTTACTAAAAAATTATATTAATATTCATACTATTATTGATGTGAATGCAGGTATTCCTAAAAGATCATATGCAAGTTCCAGTATCTGAAGCTACATTGATAGCAGTTGGTGGCCGTTACGACTATTTGGTTCATCAGAAGTGGAATCATGAAAATGTATGTTGTATGTGCATACGTTATTCTAAGTTTTTTATGTTAAGTAAAATTATTGAGACTTCCTTCCTTAGGTTTCAAATATTAACCTTATATTATGTTATAGATAAGTTTTTTATTGCCTTCTGATTGATGGTCCTATTTTTTCTTGTAACATTAAAAAAAATGACTGGTGGCTAGGAGCCTATTTGTTTGATAATATTGAACTGATACGTAGCAACATTTTTTGAATTAATTTTGGCAACTGACATTTCTTCTGAGGGGACAAAAAAAATGCATAAATATTTTATATTTTAAACGTTGTTTTCTTTAAACAGTACTGTATATAGTGCTTAATGCATTCATTTAATATACTTTATTTTAAGGTACTATTTTGCATCTTTTTTGCTTTTTTTTTTCTACTAGAGGTCAAATCCGCCTGGTGCAGTTGGAACTAGCCTTGCATTAGAGAAGGTCTTTCGTCATTGTTTGATGGATATCAAGCCCTTCAGGTGAAATATCTCATAATTATCTGATAACTTATGCACGGACTTTAAACTTAGCATATTATCTTCTATCCACTGTTATGTTGGGCAGAATTGAAGTCAACACGAATGTGCTTGTCTGCTCCAAAGGTGGGGGAGGTCTGCTGCTTGAACGCATGGAATTAGTTGCCGAATTGTGGCAAGCTAACATGAAGGTCTTTCTCATATGAAGCAGTACATCACAGATTATGCATCTGTATTCTAAATAATCCATTAATTTGATTGTTTAACAGGCTGAGTTTGTTCTACTACCAGACCCAAGTCTCACTGAGCAGTATGAATATGCAGCAGAGCATGATATTAAGTGCCTTATTATCATAACTGAAACTGGTCTTTCTCAAACTGGTCTCATAAAGGTAGTAGTTATAGTCATTTTTAAATAGTGTGGGATTTTATCATTCTCCAATCCCATTTTGCTTGTACAATATGTTAAAAACATTTTGGATTTACTGCCATTTTATTTTGTTTCGCTTCAGTTCTGTCTTTTAAAATTTAAGGTAAATTTCTTGCAAAGAATAATGTTTTATGCCAGACTTTGGATGAAGAAACAAACAGGAGCTGGGACCTTCTATATCTTACATGTATTCTTGCATTCAGAATATTATCCATGCTTATTGACTTGACAGTTGTCAGCTGATTCTTCTAAATCTGCCATGCGTATCCTTGTAAAATCTACTTTTTCTTAATTCAATTCTATGTTCTATGTTTTACTAGATGGTTCTTTTGAATTATCAGAAAGATCATCTCTACCAACTGCTTATATTTAAATATGAGTAGTCATCATTCTTTGAAATATTGCATTAAAATATCAAAAAGGTACAAAAACTATGTATGTGTGCATCTATCATGTACAAAAGTGAGATATATTGTCTGTAAGTATATAAGAAGGCTCCCTATCATCATCAACATGCATCAAAAGAAACGAGTCATGACGGGCTAGCTTGGCGCAAAAAATGAATTGCCCCATTACATTCATTCGATGCCATCATATTTGTTACAAGGAAACTGTCACAACCTATTGTTTTTGGGCTGTGAAAATTTTTGACGGTTTTTTTCAAAGAGATATGATTCCAAGTCAAATTTTCAAAAAACAAATTGAATTTTTGATAAGATGCTACCTTGAGATTTTGCCCTCATTAAGGATTTTATAATCTAATTCAAGGTTTTTTCATTGTTAAAATTCCCATAGTTAATTAATTATTTCAGTGATAAGAGAGAACTCTCAATTAAAGTTAGTCATTAGATTTTGAATGTTTAACATATAGTAGCAGCAACTTTGGTTTCGAAAGAGAACTTACCACCTACTCTTTAAAGCGCATTGTTGGGGAATGAAAATAGTCCCGATCAAGATCTCATTTTTTTCGTTATTTTGGAATATTGTGGATGTTAGTTTATTTTATCGGTAAATATTGTAGAATTCTGAGTTTTCTATTTTAGATTTATTCTAAATTTATTCCTTATTATGTTGTACTTTTTTTCATTTTTTTAGTTTGTTGCTTTTGATAAGATGTAATGATAGGAATTAAGTTTGCCATATCCTTTACTTACGAGAAGAGTTGTAATTTGATTATTGTTTCTCCACCTTTCTACATGGTATTAAAGCGTGGGAACAAAACATAACTTCTTTCGGCCGCCTGAACTTTTCCAACAGTTGTCGGAACCCCTTCGTCGGGCTGCAGACCATTCCCGGCTCTTCCCTACAGCTGAAGTTTTTTCTACAGACCTCTTCCTCTATTTTCTTTGATGTCAGATTCTCCTTGCAATCATTATCTTCCTTGATGCAGGCCCTCCTTATCCAAATTATTCCTGCAAGCCTTCCCATGCGCTCACCTTTGTCATAGGATCCTTCTTGCTCCTGGCCCTCTGCTGGATTCTCGCTGCAGGCCCTCTGTGGGTCACTTTGTTGTCGTCAAACCCCTCCTGCTGCTGCAGCAGCAACTGGCTTCTTCTCTATCACTGCCACCCATCTTCCTGCAGCCGCCATAAGTTGTTGGCTCAGTTTCTCACAGTCATCCGCTCCCTTGCTCGTGCTTGTTGATAGCAAGCGGTTACGTTCCAGTTGATAGCAGGCTGTGTTGAATGGTTTTCATCAGAAATAATGATCGCTTGCCACTTGATATGTGTAGGCCACTTCCATGTCTTTAAATGCTCCAACCAGAGCCTTTTTGTTCTGGTGTTTGTTAGCCACTTGGCGCTTTGACTCACGTGCTTCCTCTAGATGTTATAGAACAGAAGATTGTTATGTAGCATACGGAGATGCAAACACTTGCCACCGTGAGCCAAAGGCTAGCAGCTACTCATTCAGCTTTGAGGCTCAAATTAGCAGCAGCTCAGCTGAGCTGCAGAGATTGCAAACACATGTCTTTTGGTTGCCGACAAGCTAAGTAATGTGATCAAGAGCAAACATTCTCATGCCCGATGCTTTTATTACATTGTGCATCAATGTTGGAGAGCTTGCAATGCAAAGGTTCACAACCGTCCGTACGACAAGCCAACAACTGTTGTTGCTACCATTCTCAAGCTCAAGTCAGTGACGAAGACGCCACTCTTTCCATTTCGTGAGCAATGGGATGCTAGCCGACTCCTTGGGTAGGTCCTTTCTATCCTTTTCTAGGATCCCACCTAGACCCTCGCCGCCCCACACCCCCTCCCCCTCCCAAGGGGTCACAACCGTCCCTATGACAGGCCAAAAACTGTTGTTGATACCATTCTCGAGGCACTTACGAAGACACCACTTTCTCCATTTCGCGAGCAATCGGATGCTAGCCACCCCCTTGGGTTGATCCCTTCTATCCTTTTCTAGGATCCCACCTCCATCCACCTCCCCCCTTCTAAATCTAGCCAGGTAGGTTAAAGGTAACGTCGATTGTGTTCTCCTATCTTTCAAGGCGGGGAAACCGATTGTATCATTCGTAATGAGCGGGAACTCATATCAGACACTTATTCAAACAATGGGACAATACCCAAGTGGAGCTTCAGGCCATTAGATCCTTTTAAGATATATGCCAAATGTGAATGCTCAAATGCAAGGGCAGCATCATCGAAGGGGACAACTTCAACATTATGCGCTTTTTGAGTACTACCATGAAGAGGGAATTTTGGCGCAAACAACCACACGAAGCTTCGGATTGACTCGACCCGCAATTATACAGTTAATTAAGTTTCAAAAGATGACCAAAAACATGACCCAATTTATATTTAAGGACTTGTGTGCAACATAAATATGTTATAGAATTTAGAATTTTGATTAATGGTTTACACACCAAGGGTTCTATGCAAGTACACGTTTAGAATTTTGATTAATGGTTTACACACCAAGGGTGCTACGCAAGTACACGTATCATTTCAAGTAATATGGAGTTTTCTTTAAAAACCCAGTATGGAACCTACAGAGAAGAATAGAATTTATATTTCAACTTAGAAGAATTTCTATGTAAACTGCAAACAAAATATGTAGGGGAATAATATTGAAATGTTTGTAAAGGGTTAAAAGCTAAAATTTGTTAAGTCTAATTCAAAGCTAAAAGTAAATGCAATTTTTCGTAACTAGTTATGTTTAAAGAAGTTCGAATAATATGAAAATTCTCTCTTTGAAAAGAGATCATAATTATTGTAGAAACCAAATGTTTAAAGTTTGAAATGTGGTTTTTGACAAATAGGAGCATATCTATTCTTTACTCTCTCCTGAGTGCATAAAAAACATTGATTAATCTAAATTTAAGTTCTAATTGATATGATTATGTTGAGTAAATTCTAGCCTCCTACTTCTAGATTATCCACTATGCTCTCTGTATAAGACTAACTATGCTTTAGGTTTGGAACTAAAAATCAAATTGGTTAAGTTTCTAGTCTGTCACTCTAGAATCACCAATTATGCGCCCATCAAAATTTATCTCTCTATCTATTTGCACTCCAATTATAACTTAGTTCCCCTCATCCTAAGGTTAGCATGACATTCACTAGTTGTTTGAAATTATATTTCTCCCTGGTCATTATATTTCGCAACGAATTATAACATTACAAATGACCAATTTGCAAAGTAAATGAAAAATTGGTGAAAATACCATCACAATTTGCAAAGGAAAACTACTCAAAATTCATAAGGATAATACAACAAAACATAATATATATTAAAACTCAATGTCACAAAACAAAACTTAACAGAAAGTACAAAAAATTATCTCAAACTCTTCCCCAAGCAATTATCTGAAGTTCCTCGATTGACCTTGACTCCAATAAACTCATACAAGACTCTAAAACACTCAAAATCAGAAAGACTCACCACCTCTCTAACAATGGTGGCTGCCCACTCCAATGGTGGTCTAACCTACCAAAAAATGACTCTCTTTTCGTGTGGAAATCTTTCCTATAAATAAAGCTCTAGAAAACACTAAGAGTCACTTCAAGCACCTCTTTTAAATTTATCTAAATTCAATGGATAAAAGTCAAACCGTTTATGGTGCCTAGGCACCCAACTGTAGCGCTATGGCGCTAGCTTCGAGAATTCTTGGCGTCAGGTCAATTTTTGCTCCTTCTGACCTATTTTGCTCCATTTTGGTTCATTTCTATTCATTTTTGCTCTTAAACTTCATTTCTTGTATCTGCAATAAAAAATACGCAAAATATCTTTCATTAAAGCGCAATATACTTTAAAATGTGCAAAAAATGTATATGTAAAAGTAGCATATTTTAGGACATCAATTTCTCCAAACTTAAACATTACTTGTCTTCAAGTAACCATTTTACTATATAAACCAAATATTATACCTTATGGTAGTGAGTTTCATTAAATATTACTATATCCTGCCCTATAAATGTAATAGTAAAACTATAAAAAAATTTGCAATAACTCAGGATAAAACTAAAGCTTAAGAATATCTAGTATGTAAGTTAGGAATTATGATTCTATTCATTTCAAAAATAATTAAAATTAGTCACACTTAAGAATCTCAGAAGAATTAAAAGAAAAAATTATATGTGAACTCTATTAGTAAGCATTTGACTTAGGAATCTCCAAATGAGCCCTTAATCAAAAAATAACCACATTCAAAATATAACTTTTTTTTGTTAATTTATTTTAAATCATAATTTAATTTCACTATTTAATATCGTCTTGCTATTAATATATTTTGATTATTTAAATAATTTATTATTTACATATTATCGAGATATTCCTGATTTACCTTTATCATAATTTAAAGATTTCTAATTTTTAGTGCATTAATAATGAGTACGATTATTTGATTCTCATTATATAATATTAATTATCATTTGCTTAATTATTAATCATAGAAAAAGTTAATACTCAACCCATTATTTATATATAAAAATTTAATAAATTGTATCACTCATGAAAATGTACTAATTATCATTAATCCATTAATTTTAGGATTGCTTCAAACCTAATCATTTTTTCAAATTACTTCAAATCATCAATTATTGTTTTATTTACCTCTCTTCAATCCGTGGTCAGAATATTCCTTCAATGCTTTCTAATTGAATTAATGTAATACCTAGATTAACACTTTTAATTAAAACAATTTATATAACTAAAAACATAAATTGCATAGTTTTACCTCCACATTCGCTCTCGTCAATTCCTTCTCATTTCGATCCAAAAATTCTTTAGTTAACTATTCTGGCCATAAATTAGCATATGCTTATATTATACTTGATTACAACTTCAATGTATATATAAAATCTAAATTAAACAAGCATAACCTTTCTTACACCTTTCGGTTTGGCCCTTACTTGCATGAAGTTTCTTCCTTGCATGAAGCCGTATTCCTTTCTTCGGTTTGGCTCGATATAGCTCTTTCCGCAAGCGAGCCCATCACCTCTTCCTCATTCTTTCACGCACAACACGCACTCTGCTCCCTGCTACGCATGAGATGTGACCCACACTCGAGTCAATATCATCTCCCTGGCTTTGATACAAGGTGCACAGCCTCTCTTTTTCTTCTTCGCACCCGCAGCGTTAACTTCACCTTCCAAGCGCACGAGCCCATCCTCTTTTACATAGAATGCTCCTATGGTGGTGTCTTAAGTTGCCCCTCTAGCCAGCTGTGCTGAATTTTTTTATCGCTTTAACTATCTCCCTGATTCGACACCGACAATCAACACAACTAGTAGATCCCTTGGTTCACTCATTCACACACAGGCTTCTTCCTTCTTCTCCACTTCCTATTTGTTCTTTTGCTTTGTCTTTCAATCTTCTATTCTCATGCCTTTGACTTCTAGGTTTGAATGTGGGCATTCAATTCTTCATAAATAACTGCCAAAACGGTTGAGTTCGAACCGACATTATCAGTTAGAAAAAATAATATAATTAATTATTTATTTATGCAGATATTACAATCTCCCCTCCTTATAAATTTTCTTTGGGTTGAGTTCGAACCGACATTATCAGTTAGAAAAAAGAATATAATTAATTATTTATTTATACAGATATTACAATCTCCCCTCATAAATTTTCTTTAAAATTCATGAACTTTACGTAAGCTAATCATTATGCAGATGAAACATGAAAACTATCCAAAAATCTTCAAAGAATAGTTCTTGTCAAGTGACAATAAAAACAAATTGATAAATCTAATATCTAAGATAAGATAATTCAATTTTATAATCCCCAAAAATAACAACAATTCATAAACAAGGAGACATACCTAACACATACTCAACTTCTAAAATATAAATACATATAGATACTCAACACAAGATAACTAACATGGCACTCATTTTACAAATCACTCCTCAAACTCTACTTGCAGCTATATCTAACAGTAATAGGATCTTCAGAATGAACTATTAATTTATTAAATTCTTTCTATTAATTATTTATTTTATACAAATATTACAATGATGTTATCATGTTAAAATGTGACCTTTTTTTTTTTGTTCAAGGTGAAAAAGAATGGAGTCTTGTTCTCATCATGATTGACCATTTTTAGACTTTTACATGACTCGCGCTTGGTGAAATTCATTACCCAATTCATTTTATATTCCCTTTCAGGTCCGTCATCTTGAACTGAAGAAGGAAAAAGAAATTCAGAGAGGGGAAATTATTAAGTTTTTGACTGATGCTGCCTCTACTCAATTCAGGAACCTTTCAATTTGGAATTAATTACAATTCCAACCTCTACTGGTTTTTCTACTTTGTTTGTAAGCCATCCTGGTTTATTTGAATTTGTGAGCTCATCTGCAGTTCTTTTAGCTTATTTCTTCTGTACTCTACCTATAAATTCTCTTGGAAGAGGGTGGAAGCATTTTCTTCACTGGTTATAAATGAGCGTACGAGGCTCCATTGTCGGGTGTAAAGGTGGGTTGATGTACTTTTTGACTTCTTTTTTAAAGCACAGCAAATTAGTTTCTGTAAAAATCGTTTATATGACCTTAAACTCAATAAAATTATATTAAATTCTTTTATATATATATATATTTTTTTCTGTCATGAAGTTACATGATTTTTAGTTTATATTTTGATGTTTGCTCCCATAGCTTTACCATATGATTTGCAATTTGATTTGAGAAAATTTAATTGTTTCTCATAATGCACATATTTGGAGAAATATCCCTCATATGTTTATTTGACTATCCTTCCTCCAAAGTTTTGTTTATCCAAAACTTCTTTCAAATATGCCTATATATCTGTAAAATTATATCGTGCAAAACGTAAACTTTGTTTCTAGGTCATACATAAACATTACATTGTCTCTTTTAGTTCATATTTCTATTTTAGAATGTTTTCTATAGCAGTGTAAGCAGATTTCAAATGCCTCTAATTGAGATGGAAGTTGTTTAATTGGACATCAATATTTGTGTTTGTGTTTTGGTATGCTTAAATTATTTTGTAGGCAGCTGATTAAAGTGATTTTCAAATGTCATATAGTTTACACTGGTCCTAAGGAAGATAAAAACTAAGAAAATTAAGATCATTTTAATAAAAAATGACAACAATTTAGAGGGTGAAAAAATAGGTTTGAATTAGGTTCGATTAGAAATTGAAAAAGTTTGTTTTCAAACCTTGGCACACTCAATTCTATCTAAATTTGAATTGTTAAAACCATGTTTCAACTTTACTCCATTTTATTCGAGTAATGTTTGGGTTAAACTTGATTAAAGAATTATTCGTTCCTTAGTTTTTGATTGTTGATTGAATTTTGTTTCATTTATAAAATAAGCTTTCAAACAAGTTGGAGAATATTCAATCATTGATTGAATTTGATTTGGACCTTATTCAATCGATAGTAATATTGTTTGTATTTATGTTTAGAATAATTTTTCTACAATGAAAACAATCATTTTTTTTATGTTGAGTGACTAATGGTTCTAAAATGTATTACCCTAAAATTCTCATTTATCTTTGATGATTAAAAATAAGCATACATAAGAACTAAATTATCAAATTGGATTTTTGAGTTGGGCTCAGATCATATATGAAATTGTTTGACCCATATCCAACCTAAATATTAAACATGTTAGAAAATTTAACTCAAACACGACTCTCTTTTAACCTGTCTGAACTGCATCCAATAAATGTGATATGTTTAATACATACATAGCATTAATGCCACTTCTGAGTTGGCGTGTTAAATTTAGTTACTTATATGTTGGTTACTTTTAGGCTAATTTTGTATTGCATGGTCTCGAGTTAATGATCATGACGTTTGTAAATGCATCGGTTTTATGGTTCAAGAAATAACTTGATTGCTTGATTTATAAATAGCATTGTTTTGGGTGCCCTGAATGTTATTATCCCTAAAAAAATATATATGTTAAATAACTTGATCACTTTGAAAGTTAAATACCAACCATCTTCTTGTTAGTTGATATAATTATTATTATTTCCTTTTTGTGATCATGAAAATTAATTTGTGTAATTTCTGCAATTTTGTAAAATTTTTGGATATGTATAACCATTGCAATTGTTTATAATCAATGTTGTGTAATTATAGTTGTATATTGCGCATGTCTACTTTTTGTAATTCCTGAGGAATGTTATGTATATTAAGGCTTATCAATGTTGATGATAAGGTTTACTTGTAATAAATTTAATACCATCATCATTTTTAATTCTTAAAAAAGTTTAGTGATGCAATATATGTAATGTAATTTTGTTGCAATAGGTAGTTCCAATGCCTGGTGTGGGGACTCTCTATGGTCCAGTAGGACCCTCGGTGGAGCCGATCCGTGACGAGGGCGTCACGTGATTGGGTGGAGGAGAATATCACGGACAAATAGTCCCACATCGGCTAGGTGTAGGGCCGAAAAACAGTATTTAAATCCTGGGCTGCCCACCTCTCTTAAGGGCTCTTTTGGGAGGTGACAAGTGGTATCAGAACAGATTACTGCCTGCCAGGTGTGTGGACTCTCCATGGTCCAGTGGGACCCTCGGTGGAGCTGATCCGTGGCGAGGGCGTCACGTGATTGGGTGGAGGAGAATGTGACGGACAAATAGTCCCACATCGGCTAGGTGTAGGGCAGAAAAGCAGTATTTAAGTCCTGGGTTGCCCACCTCTCTTAAGGACTCTTTTGGGAGGTGACATTAGGGTCAACATTGGTGGAAATTTTTTTTATTTTATTATTATTTTTTTGTTGTTAAAATGTTAGTATTAAACAAATAAAATATATGATGATGAAAAATTTTCTATTTTACAATACTTAATTCATAGTTTAAAAGCACTGAATGATTATCTCTTTAAAAGTACCATCCAAATTTTTTTCCCAATAAAATAATATTATACAAGTAAATATTAAAGTTTAGGCATTATATATATAAATACATAAGATTTATATCATATATATGTAAATACTTCACAATAGTATATATTTTAAAAATTTTGTATCCTAAAAGCATTTTAAAATTATAATAAATGAACATTGAAATTTTAATCAATGTCTTAGAAAAAAAATTAATATACTTCATTTTTTATTGAAATAAAGGTTTCAAATTTGAAAGATAAATAGTCAAGATTTAGTTAATTAAAATGATTATTTTTTGCAAATAAAATTAAATTTTATTTGAGATTGATAAATAATGGTTTGTAAAGACAAAAAATTATTGTGTTAAATGAGCTTAAAAACTATGTTTAATGTAAGTTTTCAAGCCAAATTTGCTTGCACATATGACAATTTAAGAAAAAAATTAAACTTAAGAGTATTTCTAATGTAAAAAAACAAAATTAAAATTTCCATTAACTATCAATGCAAAGAAATGAAAATATAGCTTCCACCTACACTGCATATGCAGTGAAACTGATATATAAAGTTCCATAAAATGTAACATACTTTATATGCTCTTCTCATCATTTGTTGTTAACATCTAATTTGTTTTATTTTCTCATTTTTATTTATATTTTTCATATGAGGTCGCAATAGTATTGCTTTATATTGCATTTGCAGTATATGTTGGAAGCACATTTACATCTCTTGATTGCTATCCCTTATGAGTAGCTTTTTTTTTCCCCTTCTTATCATTTACCACTTGCATGTTGTCAACGAATCAACCCATTATTTTAATAACATGTCGCTTTTATTCTCGCTACGGTATCATGCTATGATACAATGCTCTTTGGTTCAACAATTATTTTGTGCTCTTATGACTTGTTTACAATCCTGCAAAATATTATCTGAGCCTATGGTAGTTTAAATAAATGACACACATGCCAATTTTATGAGCCTCTTCCAAACAATCTTCATATCATAAATCATTAGAAAAATCACACTTTAAGACCATGTTCATTTACGAAGTGTCGAAGTGTAACCTTAATACCAAATCATCATGTTATTGTGTCCAGCAATATTTATAATTAGTTATCTTATTGACTAACTCAAAAGCTAATTGTAATGTATAGCAAAAGTAAAAATAATAACTAATGCATGTTTTTTATACAGTTATAGTTCTATATTATCAATCAATTGATTAAATTTGTATGGTCATTTATGCAGATTATGTAATGATGCATCTATATCACCAACTTTCAATTGCACATCTCTAATTTATCATATGAACATTCTCTGCTCTGCAAGAAAAAAACAAATAATATTATCATCACATCTTGTCAAACTTGACCATCAACTATGCATTACTTTCACCAAAATAGATGTCAAGGTCATTTTTTTTAAAAGTGTAGCACCTTTTTTGTCAGAATTTTGAAAATGATGGCTAACCAATTGTATAATATAAATGTAGAATTAACATTGCCACACATCATAGAATTGGATGCTCCAAACATGAAATTCACATGTACTAGAACTTAAAGTTATGTATCTGAACCAATTAATGCTTATAAATATTGTAGTAAGAATGTATTACAACTTAAAAGAACAATATAAATCATTTTTAAACTTAATTTTCTTTTAATAGTTTAGTACAAAAGTCTACAGTTTATGATTTAAAAATACTGTAATAAGCTTAAAATTAGGTTTGAACCATATTTAAGTAAGGCTTAAATGAGATGTGTTTGTTTGAATGAAGTTCAAAGACTATTTGAATTTTCCTTGAATATCATTCAATTTTTGTTACTCATAAGAGACTCATTTTTAAACTTAATTTTCTTTTAATAGTTTAGTGCAAAAGTCTACAATTTATAATTTAATACAATACATTAAGTTCAAGACAACTGAATTCCCAATTGATCTACAAAATTGAATATATTTGTATTATGTTATAAAACAGCTAAATACACAACTATTCAAACTGATTATATTTACATTTATTTTAACCCAACTAAATACCCCAATTGAATACATCTACAAGTAAAAATCATACACAAATGATTTTTACTAATATATGAATAATATATTAGTAAAAAGATACTTGGTTGGAAGAAGATTTTATTAATATATGAATAAATCTACTAACTCTAACAATATAGCAAAGCATTTGTAGGAAAGATTTATTGTTATTTACACGATTTGAATTGCAATTACATATCAGTCATATTCATATAATATTTTAATTTTTATAAATAAGATATCTTATATATTATCTAGTAAATCTTATTTTAACTCATTCAAAGATATATAAGATATGCAGTTTTCTAATTCATAATGAATATTTTCATCCCAAAAGACACATTCTTATACAACTGCAGACCACTTAAAGGTCTCCTTATTCTTTTGTTTTATGATTTTAGAAACCACTAATCTATGATATTAATAATCAATTCATCCAACACTAATAAGTTATTCATAAGTTTTTATGTAGCATCATACTCGCCCCTTTATTAAATAGCAAAATATTTATATGTTCCAAAAAGATTGAGAAAAATAGTAAGAAAAACAATGTATTTCTGTTATTCAAAATTAATCATAAAATCTTATCATATAAATATAAATAAATGGAAATTTTA